AATTGAAAAATGAATACCAAAGCTAGTGTTTTAAAAAAACTCAATTAAGTAGAAATTGTTGGTTATGTAAGTAGTGAATGGACAAGGGACAATACAGCTATACAACATCCAGTATGAAAAGGAGAGCATAACCTCAGATATGAAGGTTTAATACAACAGAAAGTTTAATTGTGCTAAAGCATACAAACATATTTAAAAATTAACCAGTTTTAGTAAACACATATAAATAACAATGGATAGAATAATCACAGCAGAAATTAAAACTTTAAGAACTGTATTATAATAGGCAATCTGCTGAAAGTATTACAGGTGAATTATTTCAATTTTAAGGCACAGTTTCTATTCTATTTACACTGTTCTAAAATACAAATATTTCAAATTTCCCAACTCATTTGATAACATTAAAACCATAAACCATAACCCCATTCAAAACCTAACAATAGGTAGTACAAAATCCTAAATAAATTATGAACAAGTTGAATTTTTAAAATCAAGAGCACTGGGACAAGAAGACATAATCTGATAATAAAATCTACCACACTGGTATAGGTATAACCACTACATAGTTTCTTAAATCTGTCAAATTATCAAAGTATATTTGTAGACTTAACTTGGAACTATGAATCAGAATCTATGACAGCTTCTTTTAAAATCTATGGCTTATTGAGAAGGACAAATTAATTTTTGAACATTTTTTCAGTTGCTTTTTTTTTTTACACAATTTGAGGCTGTATTGTTAGGTGCACACATGTTCACATATGTATACCTTTTTCTATTATTCGTTTTTGTCTGTGTTATGGTTTAGGTCTAAAATGTGCCGCCTAAAGTCTCCTGTGTTTGGAACGTGATTGAACTGTGGTGGTACTATACTCATCAGTGCATCAACTTCCAGATGAGTTCAGTAGTTGAGTGTGTTGTTAGGAGGTGGGGTCTGGTTGGAGGTGGTCACCGGGAGCATGACCTGAAAAGGTGCTTTTTATACGCACTTCCTCCCTTCTCTCTCTGCTTCCTGGCTGCCCGGGATAATAAGCTTTCCTCTGCCAAGTCCTTTCACCATTCCGTTTCTGCCTTGCAGCCAGCAGACTGTAGAATAAAGCACAAGCCAAAATTAACCTCTTCTTCTTTCAGGTGTGGGTGTCAGATGTTGTGGTCAGCAACAAGAAAGCTAACTGGTATGTGATAACTTTCTTTTTCCTATAAGGCTTTTTTAAAGCCCTCAATTTCTTTTCTTAACCTATGCTAAGATATTGACCAACTTATTTTTGTTCATATTGGTGGTGTACATTTTTTGCTACCCTTTTATTTGACTTTTATTCTGAATTCTTGTGTTGTAAAAATTTCTTTTGTGGAAAAAAATATTGCTAGGCTTTTAAAAATCCACTAATAGTCTTTGTCTTTTAATTGGTGACTTTAATTAATTTACACTTATTTGAAAGTCAGATAAGCATTTATTATTGTCATTATATTTTACATGGTATATTTACTGTACATTTTTGTTGTCTTTTTTTCCTATGTTGTATTTTTTTTTTCTTTTTTGTTTTTTTTCTGGTACCAGGAATCAAACTCATGACCTTGTGCTTGCCAGGCAGGTGCTGTGCCACTGAGCTAAATCCCCAGCCCCTCCTATGTTGTATTAAATAGAACAGATTTTCTGGCTAGATCAAAACTTATGTATTATTATTTATTTTTATTGTGAATGCCTTAAGTTTAAAGATACTCATGTCTATCGTCATTTATTTCTATTAATTATGAATATAATGATTATCCATATATACTAACTTCTACCTTAGAAAAATCAATTTTTTGGAAGTAAACCCTTGGTAGAAGCAATTTTATTGCTCTTTTCCTGATGTTTCCTTCTCTCAAAGTCAACCACATTTTAAAATTTGATTTTTACATTTAATTTTCATGTTTATGATGCATATGGCATAATATTTCACTACATATGTATGTATCCAAAAATTATACATAGTATTGTTATACATGCTTTAAAATCAAAACAAATCGTATCACTTGATATATAGCCTTTGCAACTAGCTTTATTTTGCGTGTGTCACATATGAGACTTACCCAAAATTGATACATACATTTATACTCTGTGCTGTGCAATGTATTATATATATCTATATATCTATATATCTCCATTATATGAAGAAGCCACAGTTAAGTTATCTAAGGTAATATTGTCTGGTGTAAGCAGAAGGAATAGGTAGGAATAGAGACAAATGAAACTCTTTAAGATGATTTAAAGGCATAAAATGAAAGTGACTACCAAACTAAATTAATAAAAAGAAAACAAGTAAATCTGACAAATTAGCCATTCAGCAAAGTGATCTATAGTCTAGAATCTCAATAAGCGGAAAAAGAAGCTGTGGTAGCAAAAATAATTGCATCCTCTAATGTATCAGTCTGCTCAGGCAGCCAAAGCAGCACTGCCCAGACCAAGCGGCTTAAACAGCAGATATTGGTTTTCTCAGCATTGGAGGCTGGGAATCTAACACAGAGGTGCCTCTGGATTGTTACCTGGGGAAGCCTTTCATCCTGGTTTACACACTATAGCTGTCTCACTGTGTCCTCATCTGGATTCTTTTCTATGTGTGCATGGAGAGCAAGAGAGAACATTTTCTTCTGATAAAGACACCAGTCTATCAGATTAGGGCCTTACCTTATCACCTCATTTAACCTTGATTACCTCCCAAAAGGGTCTACCTCCAAATACAGTGACATAGGAGGTTTAGGTTCAATATATGAGCTTGAGTGTGACACAACTCAGTATAGAATCACCCAAATCTTGTAAATTACTTATCTATATCCATTGCTATATAACACCACATAAGAGCAACTTCAGTATCAGTGCTTACAAGAGCAAATATTTATTTTTCATGGTCAGGGGATTGTGGGCATTTGGATGAAGGTGGTCTCAACTGCTGCTGCCATATCCAAAGTCACTGTCTCTCCATTGTTGTGATTTGATCATCTTATATACCCCTTGCATCTCTTCTTAGATTTTTGATCCAGTGATCCTTATGTTTTGAGTGCTCAAATTAATTTTACTCTTTCATTGTATGAGCTGTGAGCCAACTGAGAAGTATCCTGGGGGGTCCTGATATGAATTTAATGATAGCATTAGCTCTGTTATTGGCTAGTTGCTCTGGGCCCAAGACTAAAATTAACTTCTCACTGTTTTCCGTCTTTATTTGAACTTCCCTACCTAGTCAACAATATCACACCTAGAGAGCTCTCTGCCCCTTTCTTTTGTTTCCTGCCTGAGAAGAAGACAAGTCAGCAAGAATTACTTTAGCATATAAGGTTGGGGCTAGAGGTGTGTCCAAACTGAAGAAATAGTGTGTGCAAAGGCCTTCAGACAGGAACAGATCTCCAGGCAATTGAGGGACTCACTATCTAGGTGATTACTGAATACTAAGGGCCTTTGTCAATTTAGACTGAAGAAAATCAGGCCCTGAGGGAACCTTAGAGTTGACCACAGACATAAAAGGAAAGAAGATCTAACTCTATTCATTTACTCGCTCTTTCATTATTTATTAAATGCTACCTGTGTGAGGCATACTGTTCTCTGTGTTGGGGATACGATGATGGACCAAATGGCCATTCCCCTGCCCATGTAAACCTTACATTTATGCAGAGGTACAGACAATCAAATAAATAAGCAAGACTTATGATATGATAGAAGGTAATAAGCAGTAAGGATAGAAAAAAAGAGCAAAGAAGAAGGTTAAGGTGTTGGTCAGTGGAGGTGTGGAGCAGTTTCAGAAAGGATGGCCAGGATTGGTGGTATTTGAGCAAAAATCAGGTAAGAGTGTTCTGCCCAGTGAGGCCCCTAGCAAGGGCACAGACTTGCCATGGTTTAGCGTCAGGAGATGAGGGTTAAAGAAGAGCAAGAAAGTCAGTGTATAGGAGAGAGGGAGAAGAGGTCAGGCAGGTAGTGGGGTGGATGTAACAGAGAAAGGGGAGCTTAATGTGGATCATGTAAAGCATTATAATGCCTCAGGTATTTAATCAGTGATATGGGGAGGCACTGGAGTGTTTTGAACGTAAGACAGAGTCTGATCCACCTTTCCCATGGACTACTGTGTTGAGTACAGAAAGGATCAGGAAGAGTACATAATTGTATGTGATACTTGGAAAATAAATAGAGTCAGTTATAGAAGAGGCTGCTAATTAACAAACTAACTCTCTCTAATTAACTGGTTGTGTACCAGTGAAACTGGCAGTCAAGTCACATTGGAGTTACACTCAGCAACTTGCCCCTGGTGGCCCCAGTAGATGCCAGGGATGTTGACACTGGAAAATTCATGCATCAGACCCTGGGGCATCTATGATTTCTTCCCATGTGTGGAGAGTTTATCATCCTACAACAAAAATCACCTCAATCTCTTCCACCTAGAATATGAGCTCCCTGAATACAGGGAGTTTAATATGTGCATTGCTCAATTCTTGGTACCTAGAATACTGCTAGCATGTAGCTTGCACTCAGAAAGTACCTGTTAAATGCCCAAATATCTCTGTTAAACTTATTGCAAGACCTTGAGCAAGATACTTTTCTGTACCTCACAGAATACAAAGTAGGATTGGATGGCACTGATGGCCTTGCTAAATGGGACAGTCTGTAATCCCATTTCAGAGTCTGAGCCATCATTTCTAAAGGACTTTGCAGGCCAAGGGATGCATGGACAGGGCATCTCACAGGGAGAAGAAAGGGATGGATAAGGGGAAACCCGAGCCGTGCAGAAGTACATGGGTAATCTCTGGCACTGGGGACCAGGGCACTCTCAAAATAAAGGTGAATTGTCTTTTTTTTTTACATGCATAGGGCTCAAATTCCAAAGAAGGCTGTTTCACTCGAAACAGGATATGAGACACTGAGAATTCACCCCACACATGCCACCTTTGCTTCAAGTGAAACAGTCTAGTCAACAAAGTGCTCAGAGTCCCCTAAAGTACTCCTGGGAAAAACAGCATAAATAGCAGCACAGATTCCATTTAAGGGTATTGAAAATACATTTTTAATTTTGATGAAGTTCACAAATGACAACGTTGACATTTCTTTAAATAGATTGTTCCATCAAGCCGCAGCATTACCATGCGTCCCCAGACACTCCAGAGGCAGTGATTTCATGTCCCCCTGAGGTTTGGCAGAGTTGCCAGCATCACAGGATAGCCGAGGGGGACCAGATTTGTTACCAGATAGGCCTATGAGACATGCTGTCATGTTTATTGGAGACAGAATTAAATGTAAAAAACAATGCACAACAGGTAACTGCAATGAGAGTATTCTGCGCTTAGCTTTAGTTCTTTTCAAACAAAAAAGATAGTTTCAATATGAAGAAATATACGAATATGTAGGTCTTCCACAGAGCCTTCCCTACAAACTGCCTTCATTGTACACTAAAAGAAATTGAGTTTAGCTTCAATGTGACCTAGGAAAGGAAGAAAAAATAACAGCTAGAGTTTAGTCATTGCCAGGCTCTTGACATCTATTATTTCATTTACTCTTTATATAAATGCTGGGAGGTAGGTTTCATAAAAACCTTCAACTCACAAAGGGAGAAACTGCTGCTCAGAGAGAGTTAAGGGGCTGACCCAGGGTTATATAGCTGGTAGAGGCCAAACACAGTTCTTAAACCCATGACCCTGCTCTTAATTCAGAAGTACATTGTAGTATATACTCCAAAAGGATAATGTCCTTCCCTTTCAAACCCCAAAGGATCTGTATTTTCTGTCCTGATGAACTCAGTGTCACAAGACAAGAACGGGAAAACAGAGAGAAGGTGAACCCAAATTCTAGGGTTTCATTTACTGGATCTCAGAGCGCTTTCTTCAGTTGCAGATACAGGTACTGTTCCGTGTGGACTTTCCAACCATGAGCGCTCATAGAGGCTCAAAGCATAGACTGCAACCCCGCACTATGTGGTCATCCCTCCTCCCGCATCACAGCACAGGCACTCACCTGCTTCCTGGAGCCAGTGAACTGCTCAGGCCTGAAGATCCCTGCGGCGCCGGCCGAAGGCTTTGGAGCCCACATCAGTGGCTATGAAGTTGTCCTTCACCACACCCCCTGACCTGCTCAGCAAGCCTGCCAGCCGCTGGGTCACGCAGGTGGCAGTGTTGCAGGCTCTCTTCTGGGCAGTGACGCTGGTTTGCAAGATGAGAGAAGAAGAGAGAAAGCCTGTCTGTGAGAGGTTGGGGGAGGAGCCTGCCCTGTGGGACCATCATGGTAAAGTTGCTGCTCTGAGAGATACCAATTAACCTCACGTGTCTCCTAAACATGTTGCTCAGAGCAGAAAAATGACAAGGCCATTAAGGAAAACACTACCTTCATGCCCCATATATATAGGGGTGTTAGAAACCCTAAGATGACTCTATGTAGGACTGGCCAAGGAATACAAGGTTGTAATAGCCAGTCTTTCCTGTATGAATAGGCTAAAAATTAGCAAAGAGTCAGTAGAGTGGATAATGGCACCACAGCTAAGCCCACTCACAAGGATTATAGAATCCACAGCCCAGTCATATGCACAAAATACTCCTTAAGAAGATGAAAATTCCTTATCTTACCTGGAAGAAGAGTAGAGTTCTCAGCATCTGGTCCAGAGATGCTTACCTGTTTCTTTTTTTTTTTGGTTTTTCTCAGGTACCGGGAACCGAACTCGCGACCTTGCGCTTGCCAGGCAGGCGCTTTTGCCGCTGAGCTAAATCCCCAGCCCCTGCTTACCTGTTTCTTGGCAGTTCTTTGCTTGCTGCTTGCGCTGGGTCATAGGGACCACTCACCTGTATCCAGCTACCCTGGGGCTAAGGCTACTTCTAAGCACAGGTCCTGAACACCAGGAAGCCCGAGATGTGAGCTACAGCAACAACCACCACAGCTCAGGTCTTTTTGGAAAAATAATTTTATTCCCCAAATGACCAGCACAGTCAGAAGCAGGACTGAGAAGCTCAGCTAAGGAACCCTCAGGGACCTCAGAAGGGCTGCCTTTGCTCTCTTACATCTTCCTGGATGATGCTCTTCTGGCCCCTGAGTCCTCCCCTCTCTCTTTGCCCATCTGAGGTTCCAGACATTCTCTACCACAGGAAAGCCACCAAAACTGCCCAAAGAACAACCAGAGAAGAACCACATGCATTAAGTTATAGGCAGAAAGCAAGAAAAGCAATCAGAGAGACAGAGTTTAGTTGGCATCCTGAGGCATGCCAACAAGAGGGTGCTGGTTTTTCTCAAAGTCTTTGGCCATATCCCTTTTCTTGCCGGGTGCTCCAGCCCCAATTGCAGTTTGGGGGAATGTGTGAAACTTGTTGAGGTCCTGTGTGTAGGTGCCCAGCATGCAGGTACTCAGATTACCACATCGCTTAGATCTGGGGCTGTCCAGGCTGCAGGGAAAAGACATGCCAGACAGTACCATGCACATGGTCTGCCCCTGTGGGGAATCAGCAGGTTAGATCAGGTGGGAAGCCCTTTAGGTGGGGGAGCAGGTGCAGGTAGGAGGGCAGCTCATACATCCTCCATTAAGAGGGCTCCGAGGTACAGTGGGCTGGGATGGTGATAAGGAAGGGTGACCTTCTCTGGCATCCCACATGCAGTCCAGTTCTTCATGCTTAACACGGGGATTCTCGGGGTGGATGCAGGTTGACTCATGCCCCTACCTGGGCAGTGCAGGGCCAGGCTGAGGCTGGTCTCCTTCCCAGCCTCAGGGTACACCGGGAGCCCGGGCAGGGCAAGGGTGCTCTTCCTGGCCTTGTGACAACATGCACATCTCCACAGATGCTCCAGACCTACTTCAGACACTGCCCTGCCTGTCCTCAAGCCCTGCAAGCCTTCGACTTCACTTTACAAATATAAAATTCAAGGCTCCTTATGAGAGAACATGACATGCAGATGAACCAGGTAGAGCCAAATTTCTAAAATCTCCTGAGATACACCAGGTGAATCTCCGGGCTTCAGGCATTATCCTCACCAGTGTTCACTCATTCAGTGCTGGGAGGTCTTCCTGCTATCACAAGAACATTTCTCGCAGTAAACGATTCCACACCTTCTCTAATTACTTTTAGAAAGAGATCTGTTAAATGTGACCTAACCACAGTCTCCCCAGCTGACCCTCATCTTCAGTACAGCCTGAGAACTGCTGGGCCCCGTGTCTTGATGTACAGCACAGCCTGCGGGACTCCTGGACTGTGAGTTCTCTCCTACCTCTTGGGATCCGCCTTCTTATGGATTTGGGAGCTTGAAGAGGAGGGAAAGCCCTGGACTGGCCAATTGGGAGCCTTACCTGGAGCTTTCTGTTTCCGGCTCCTGCTCCAGCTCACCGGCCTTCATCTGCACATAATCCTGCACCAGTGCGGCCAGCAGGAGGCGCGCTTCCTCCTCACTGAGTGTGGCCAGGTCTGGGCTGCTCTCCAAGTCTGGCCTGGTAAGGGAAAGCACACTGGGTGTGGATCCTGAGCCCCTGGTGCTCCCTCCCCAGGGTAAGCAACCAGGCATCCTGGTCCCTGTTTCTTACCCGGAGGATGTGGCTACCTCAATTCCTAAGGGACAAGGCTTGAGACCCGTGTCCTTATCGGAAGCCAGGCACTGGTGTGGCCTCCCAGCAGCGGAGTTAGACTGGAGTCAGTGCACACAGGCTTATGAAGTCTATTAGGTAAATTTTCAAGAATTTTGGAATCTAAGTGTTAGGTGTAGCCATTATTAAAAATTAAACGATAAAACTTAAAATGAGTGTTGAATCTAAATAAGGTTTTAATTTAATAAACGTAATTTGTACGTAAGTGAGAAAAAAGTTTAACACGTTACATGTCAGATTTGATAACAATTTTTTTCGTAAACTAGTAAGATTAGGATGCAATTCATTCCTCAAATCAGCTAATTGGCTAACTAGGTAAGCTACTTATACAAAAGCTAGGTGAAAAGCAACAAAAGCATTTGTCAGTAGGGCCCATGAAATTTGTAACACAGAGTGTTTTGTATCAGAGTATTAAAAACGGTGCACATTATTATTATTATGCCAGAAAAAGTTGGCAATAAACTTCTATGGAGGTACACACAGAGCAGAGGAGTGGCTCTCCTGGTTTCAAGCTGTGTTACCTGAACGGCACTGCAAGCAGGCTGCCTGAGAGGTACAGAACTAAGATGCTGAGAGCCAGGAGGGGGGAGAACTTCCGGAAGCCCATGACGTCTCACTGCAAGGGAAGAATGACATCATCTCAGGCACCAGCTCAAAATTCTGTGAGGTCACAGACCTTGGCCTCTTGTCTCCAGTCTGGCTCTAACTTCTTGATTTTGTGGCTTCACATAGTTCCCTTCATCTTCGATTCCTCATCAGCAAAGCAGATCATTGGAAGACCCAGTAGGCATGTAGCATGCACAGTTTGCAAGCGGGGGCGAGGACGGGGGCGTGGAGGGGAGCTATCTGAGAGGGACAGAGAGCTGCGAATTCTCAGTTTTTCCTTCTCCACCAAACGCTACATAAACCTATTGGTCAAGTCTTGAGGATACTCACAATAACTGCTCCCATGAGGAATTCCAGGACCCTCGTTCTGTGTGGGCTTTCGAATCCACCCAGGGGTGGGGAAGGAGAGGGTAGGTAGAGGGCCAATAATTTCTACAGTTGTAATCTGAGAAACTGAAGGACCATTTCTAGAGCTCAGCTGCTCCGCCTTCTGGCGACTCCGTTGCTTGCAAGAACCAACCTTAGGCTGGAGTTGGGTTGGTAGAGACTTCTGTACTCCCAGAGCCCGAAGTGGGGCTTGCAATGTGGGGCGCCTACGGTTCGGTAGCTGCTCTCACTTGCCCCCTGTTCGCGCTCGCCAACGCTCCGAGCCAGTTTCACAGGGAACGCGAGGCACCGGACGCGATTCCCGAGAGCACCATCTGCGGAAACCTCCTCTGCATCCTCCCGCGAGCGCAAAGCTTGGGAGCCAAGTGTCCCGAGCTTGGGAGCCGACGAGCGGGGAGCGCAGAGCAAAGAGCCCCCGGACTGACACTCTCCGATCATACCCGGAGTGGGAGCCTGGGATGGGCCACAGACTAACAGAGACTCTGACGAAGAGCTGGAGACCGAGGTGGGCAGAGTGAGAGTAGGAGGGAAATAAACTGAGATAGACGAAAGGCGCGGGCGCGAGAGGGCTGGGAAGAGAGGGAGAAAAGGACACACCTGAGCAGAGATCGCAGGCTCACCTGGCCGGGATGTCTCGGAGTGGAGGTGCGGTAAGCTAGAGCCCTTCGGGAGTCGAGGCGACGCTTGGGCTGGGCAGCGTCTTGGTGCCTCTCTGAGCCGGCAGCTGCTCTTATTCCAGCCGCCGCCGTGGGTCGGGAGGGGTCCCCAGCGCCCGCAGCCAATGGGCGGAGGGGGCCCGGGCCCCAGCCAGATTGCGTCACGCCCATGCTTCCAGAACCCGCGGCGTGCATTACGACGGTCCCACTTATGTTTGCATTGAGGTCACTGAGGAAGTGGGAGGATGGGGAGATCAACGAGAAAAGCCCTTAAATTAAGCAGAAATTTGAGGACAGTTTAATGTCACGGTCGATTTCACCTCTTCATTCCGGCTTGGCTTTAAACCTTCGCCTAAGCCAACCCCAGCTGTGCGATCTGAAAGAGCGGGATCCGGCTCCTGGCTCCCCTTGTCTGACCCCAGACCCTTGCCCGAGTGAAGCTCGGAGGGTTAGGATAGCGGCGTGCATTCCCTGGCCCCACAGTGCTGGACTCCAGCAGCTGGTATCACCCACAGAGGGGCCAGGCTTCTGGGAAGCAGGAGATGCTACTGGAAAGAGGAATATTCTTAGATGTGAGTTCAATTCCAGCCGCGCCATGCTAGCTCTGTGCCGGAGGACAGGCAACTTCATAGATCCTCAGTGCCTTTATCTATGAAATAACGACCCCAGTCCCATCTTCAAGGAATGTTGTGAGAGGAATCTCTACCCGAAGCCACTAGGCAGAGACCTAGAAAAATTTCCTGGGATGAACTCTGATATTTCGCCCTAAGATCTCTCTTGATATTTTCTGAGTCCCTAACTCGAAGGACCACCAGTTTGGGCGTCCCAGGGAGTTGTCTGATCCATCACCTCTGTGTAGAGGGGTCTGATGTCCACCTAGGCCTGAGGAGTGAGGTGCAAGGGAAAGAAGTTTCCAAAGCCTCCATCTAGACCTCTCGTTCTCCCCCTTCTGCCACTATTAATCACCTCTGATTACTCAGCCTTCCTGAGCAGTTTGCACAGCTGCCCCTCTGTTTCCTGCTGCTGTTTGCCGAGATGTCCCAGGGGCGTTTGATTCTGGCCAGCACCCCACTCCTGCACTTAGGGCCCCGACTAAAACCAGGCAGCCTTGACAGTGTCCTGTGGTCTCTGCTGGTCCTAAAGCTCACTCACTTCCAGTCACCCTCACCCACGCACAGGTTCCTCACTGTCTCCAACGCGTGCCCCCGCCTGCCTGGAGGCGCAGATGCTTGGGCGCTGGCCCACAGAGGGTTCCTCAGAGGTTCACTCTCAGACTTGTTCCAAGCCTACCTGCCAGTCTCTGCAGTCGCAACCACACTCCGCCAGGATGGCGATCTTTGTATCTCACACTCTTTCAAGCCTAGGCGCGTGCATCGCACCCATTTACGCAAGCTCCCCCTCCTGTTCACATTCAGTCCACAGCTCTGGAGACCGCTCGGCCTGAGCGTTGAGCTTCTGGCCGGCACGGATGGATCGCGGTCCCGCCCCGGCATTTGACAGGGACCGCGAAGCTTCTTTCCTTGCCCGGGATGCCCGGTCCGAGCGCGCGCCGCGCGATCCGTAGCAGGCTCTCCAGACGCCCACAGTGCTGCGAGCGCAGCAGCAGCAGCTGGGGACCCAGGGGCGGTTTGCACGGACCCACGTTTCGCGTGTCTCCCAGGCAAAGCAAAAATTATCACTCTACGGTGTTTGAGTGGCCAGAGCTACGGAACTCGAGGTTCCCCCTGGGCCCCATCCGCACCTCCGTCCTCAGTCTCTGGAAGCTTGGGCATTTCCTAGGGCACACCTGCCTCGCTCCACCAGGAAGGCCTGGTGGGATGGTGGCTTCCGTGCTCAAGGAGGCAGCATCAAACTTCTAAGACGCAGTTGGGTAAGTTTCCTCCTGAACTTCTGGGAAGTACTCTCATGACAGAATCAAAACTCGAAAGTGCACCTGGTGTCTGAGATTCTCTTGCTGCAGAGCCTGCCAGCGGGAAGCGGTTAGACCCCGGACTGGAAGAACTCTCCTGGGAAGATGCCGCTGCGTCCTGCACAGACCCTGGAAATACTATGGATGTGGGACAGGGCTCAGGATGGCGGATTTCCAGGACCCGGTCCGAGCTTTTGGGCTTTCAGCCGATTACTTCCGAGCCCGGGCCTGAGTTTTCTCGCGGAGCTGCGTGATGAGTTGGCGGCGAAGGCTGAGATGCGGCCGCTACGCGGCGCGCAGCGCTCGGCGTGCGAGCAACTGTAGAAACCCCTTTGCTCTCAGGAGCCAAATACTTCTGCGGAAATGACTTCCTCTTTGTGTCCAGAGATTTCTAACATAAGTATTTTTGGAAAGTGTTCGTAAGTATGGGTGTCCCGGAGGTATATTTGCCTAAGAACAGAACTCAGCTTTCACCCGTGCAATGGTGACCGCAAAATGGTTAGGAAACGATCACTCTGGCAGCAGATTTCGGGACCATCTCACTTTCCGGGTTCGGAACTTTGTTCTTGGATGCAGTGTGTGTCTTCAGCCCTAACAGTAGACAACAGTTCCTCGATATGAGATTTTAGGCCGCTGCAAACCACAGACTGGTGCTGTGGGGAGCTATCGGGAGTCCACACCCAGAGGGCGCGCGAGTTGCCGCGAGCAATTTCAAACCTTCCTTTAAAAATCAGTCAGTCCAGAAAAAGGACAAGATTATCCCTCAGGTCAGTCTGAGGTGGTAGGAAGTGCCTGCAGCTGTGCTGAGGGCCGAAGGTAAACAAAACAAAGCAAAATAAAAGAAGCCAGGTTATTTTCTTGGGTAGTTAGCAGCGTGCTAGGCACACTGGTAGGTGCTCCACCAATGTTAGAGGAATGGAAATTAATTCATTCCGGCAGGCAGATTCACCCGTCGGTTTCTCAGTGTAGTTTGCATAAAACCTGCGTCAAATGAAAGCGGTTTTCTGCTGGATTCCGAGACTGGGAGCCCAAAGCATTCAGCCAGATTTCTCCCATTTTATCTGACACACAGGACTGAGGCAGGGAAGTAAGTTGTTTCGTCTGGAGTTTGTTCTAAAGACTGGGATCTCCTGCTACGAAACGCAAAACTATTCTCCTCCGAGCCCATCCGAGGGAATCCAAGAGAGTGACCGTCCTCCTAGATTAGAGGACGTCCTCCTTAGATTGCTTAGATTTTGTCCTCCTATCTACAACTTCTCTGAGTTTCAGGAACGAAGAGAGCATGACCTATTTCAGTCGCTAAGGAAAATGCTAATTATAAGATAATCCCTTCACTATTTAGCCCTTGATTTTACTTTCTTATTTCATAACTTTAAACTCTGGAGATCAGGATCTGTTTTGAAAGAATCTAATTTGGGAAGAAACATTTTTACAACACTCTGATAAATTTCAACTGTAATGTTTATACCCATTCGTTTAAATCAGATTCCTGTGCTCTTTGATTTATAATATAGTAATAGAATATAATCAAAATAAAGATGAAATCTGTCTGAAAAGCCTTATGTGAATTTCAATTTGATTAAACATTTATACCTAAAAGCTTACTCTTATTAATGCAGTAAACCAGTTGTGAAATATACAAATGATAATCTGAAAGAACAAAGCACACTCATAGTTCAGAGCTCAAATCAAATTTATTGCTTTGGTAATAATTTGTGTATGACATAGTCTCAACAACAACAAAATCACAACAGTGCCAACTACAAAAAATCACAACAAAGCCAAGGGCAGCATCAGCAATAGCTTCAACCACCCAACCCCATTCTCTTCAGCCTGGCAGAAAATCAGAACTGTCAAATTAACCGGAGATTGTCTACTGTAAATTGATTGTATTGTTTAAAGAAGGACAGAAACCAAAGTTTTCCATCACTGAGCTCACTGAACAGCATAGGAAGGAAAGTGATTGCTTCTGAATACTTCTCCTAAGTCATGTTTAGAGTCTAATAAAGTCCCTAGTAGAGGAGGGAGGATGGAAATGACAGTCATAATGCCAGCAAAATTCACAATGGCCAAGATAAGAAAACAATCTAAGTGTCTGTAGATGCATGAGGAAAGAAAAGAAAATGTAGTGTACATATATAGAAAATGGAATATCTTTCAGCCTTAGAAAAAGGACATTCTGCCGTGTTTACTGTTGGGCACATGCAGTTCTCTCAACAACAAAGAGCACTGCTGCATTCTCTACTGGAAAATATTATGCTATGTGAAATGAGTAAGGCACAGACAAATAGTGCATGACCCCCCCATATGTGGAATCTGGAAAAAGTAGAACTCTAACAGAATCATGGTTACTAGGAGACAGAGGCTGGGAGAAAGGGGAAGATATTGGTCAAATGGTAAACTTTATAACTATAAAATCAATAAGTTTTTTTGGCTAATATAAAAGGTCGGGGAGACAGCTCAGTGGCACAGCACCTGCCTGGCAAGTGCAAGGTCTTGTGTTCCATTCCTGGTACTGGGGGAAAAAAAGTCCCTGTAAAAGACAGGTTCTTTAGCTAATATAATAAATACGTTTTAGAGCACTAGCATACAGCATAGTGACTATAGATAATAATGATAATGTGTGCTTCAAATTGAAGTTTGCTAAAAGAGTAGATCTCAGTGTCAGCCCCCACATAACTAAGTTAGAGGATGAAACACCTTAACATAGAAAGAATAGAAGAAAGAGAGAAAAAGAGAGAGAGAGAGGGAAGGAGGGAGAGAGCTAGAAATGAGTGTTTAGCAGAGGCCTTTAGAACAGGTGAATCTCTATAAATATTGGAGAGGACATCAGCATTTTATTAGCAACTAGATATAAAATTATCTGAAAGACGTTGCATATGTGTGAAGTTATATAAAATCAAATTGAAATAAAACAAACAAAAATATTATACATATTAAAACCACTGTCAGTTGAGTTCCACCTGTGTGCTAGGTACTACGTATATATCCTCTTTCATATTATCAATAGTTTAGTAAGACAGGCGCTGTTGTCTGTGGTATAGAAAAAGGCGATTACTGAAAGAATTTGGCTTGAGTTAATTGCATTTTCTATTCTCCTTCTGAAGACCTGAAATGCCGGGACATAGCTTATCTGCCTGCTATATCAGG